TAATAGTATTAGCTCAGGAGGGAATGGTCCCAAAAGATTTCCTCACCAGACATAAGAACTTGCAGTGTCTTTTTATAACCTTTGTGGTAACAATTTAGATAGTAACTTTCAAATGCTTATGCCCAGATGCTACAAGCGGAGGAGACTTCCAGTACCTCTCAGTTGAATGAATTAATGATGGCGTCCCAGACAACTTTGCTTTCTCAGGAACCACGAGGAATAACTGAGGATGTAACTGAGCTTAAAGGGACATTTCTAATCAATTTAGAAGGTAAGAAGGAGATGAGACTGATAACAAATACCAGATAACAATGGTATGTGGACAACCGAATGATAATTACAGTTCTCCTCCAGCTTTCCAGTGGATGACTTGTATTCTAAAGGCAGATACACACTTGGGGTGCATCTTTCTATAGAAAGTGAAAACAGTGGCCAGGTTTCTGAACCAGCTCTCTAAGTGTCCTACCTGGTGATTTTGGGGACACAGGGGTAGGGAGAGAAGAGTGAAAACGTCATTGTCACCGACTGTGAAGTCAGTCTGCCTTACTTCAGTTGGCCTTTGTGTCCTGGCCTTTGCCCAACCCTACCATCCCTCTCTTGTGTTGAATCTGCAATTTATTATGCTCTCCCCAAATTACATATCGTAGCCACTCTTAATGAGTCAATGAAGTTTTATTGCACTCATTCCCCTCAGTGGTATCTTATAAGCAAACCTTTTGTAGGTATTTGTTTGATAGGGGATTTTTGTCAACTTACTTCATTCTTATTGATGGAAATGAAAGCTGAATAACATTAACAGAATAACATGAGTATATCAAGGAACAGTGATGCTCTCTGTGTATTTCATAGTAGCTTTTAGGCATCAGCAAGAGGTGGGAGACTAATTTATAGCTATCAGTTTAAATTTGAGGCTTGGCAGCACTGATGATGTAGTCGACTCTGTATTAATCTGCTTTCCAGAATGTTATATTCTCTGTGCAGTGACTAGAAAATGATTTATTTTCTGTACTGTACTAGTCTGAGGTCTATTCATATGGACAAATTTTTGTTTCCTTTTGTCCAGACCAAGAAGTTTAATGTGGGGGCAGTGCTCCTTGTCCCTCTAATTTGGCTCTTTTACAATTCTTAATCAAGAATGTAGCTGGAGAGGAGAGGCAGTGTAATTATCAGAACTGGACACAGATGAAGAGCAAGCAGGCATGCTCTGAGTGGATACAGAACTCCATGACCTGTGGAAAAATCAGCCTCTCAGGGTCTCAGATTCCTCCTCTCCCCCCAGTCATCAGATTGTGTGAGTCCACCATCTTGGCTGTTTATGTAAGGGAAGCAGTATTTCCCAACGCAGGGAGGAAGCTCTGAAAAGGGGGCACCTGGAGAAATACAGAGATGTACAAGATCAGTGGCCTGTCAGGAAGACTCTTCGCATGTTTTTCTTCCACAGGTGGCGATATTCGTGAAGAGTCTTCATACAAAGTAATTGTCATGCCAACCACCAAGGAAAAATGCCCTCGCTGTTGGAAGTACACGGCTGAGTCATCAGACACGCTGTGTCCCCGATGCGCAGATGTCGTGAAAGGGAAGTAGGACCGCGGTGTGTGTCGACAGCTTTCTGAGCAAGAGCCTCCTGACAGGACTAGGGGTCTAGATGGATTGTTTACAGTACTGGAGAGAAATCCAGGATTTAGGTAATGAGTGGAAGAGTAAATGGTTGAGGATGAGAGTCAAAAGTCAGAGCTACGAGTGTTTTCCTGTAACTAGATAAACAATAATGTGTATATATACATATGGAAACATATACATATGCAGGTGGATCCATAATGGACTTACTCAGAACATAACACTGAAAATGCTTGCCTACAAATGTGCTAAGCGGAAAATGTTTTATATTTTATAAATCTTCTTCACTCAGTATTTAAGTTCTATAACATCTAAAAATAAAGGCACCTGGAAAATTACTGACTGGTGGTGGTACAAAAGTTGTGAGTATCAAGTAAAACAATGTGTTTTGAACAGGAATGGTGCAGGGGTGTGTCACTTAAGAGATGAAAAGAGTAATTTCATTCTGCCTTAACAGCAAACATCAAAGCAAAGAACAAAGCTAGTTCTTTGGACTGCATACCAGAAAAAGTCATCAAATGTCTCATATAAGAGAGACAAATATATTAATACTATATAAGTGTTAAGGAAACAATATGAAAGCTGAAAATTTATTTCACTAATATACATAAGTTCACAACAATGAACAGACACAGAAAATAGCAGTATATACAGAATTTGACTACTTACAATACATTACAATAGATAATAGGGCATTTTATAAACAACTCCATATAGGATTAAAATCTTTCCAGGGATGGTTAATTCTATTTAGCAGAAATATAACAAATCATTCCTATCAGGGTGAGGGAGGGCTTTCAGTGTTGCTGTAGAGTACTTTTTAAAAATATCTGCCTAAGTGACATGAACCATAGTAACTATTAAGAGAACTTATTCCTTGTATGCTTATTAGTGTTATTAAATGAGTTTTCTGTGATTTTAAATTGTAATAATTTTTTTTAAGAAAGCTATTTAAATTTAACTGTGTTCACTTTGACCCTAGTTGAATTTTTACAACAAAGGTGAAACTCTTTGCTCCATACCTCATTTTTCTCTTTACAAAAATAGGATGCATTTAGAAGCCTGGTACTATTATTTCTCTCCATCTGAATTTATCCTGTATATTCTAGTTCTACATCTAAACACAACTTGTAATGTAGAAGTTATGATTATTTGAACCCTTTTGATTTCATTTGCATTTACAACAGAGTTGAACAAGGTACAGAATGCTTACTTAATGCTAACAAGGAAACGTACATGGGGATAGGAGTATATATAAGAAAAAGCTACTCACAGGTAAACTGGCTTTGCACCAATAACTATAGTATGTGCAACGTACCTGTTTCAGAAACTGCCTATTCTGTGTGAAACCTAATTCCTTTCTTTGTGGCTCTTCGTGGTTACAGACTGCATACACAGGTATTTATTTTCCTTTCCTCTACGAGATTTATTTCAAAAGCCCTTAATGAAACAGTAAAATATTTAACTGCTTTTCTTAACCATGCAACTGAGAATTCAATTTTAAAATTCTCTCAATGGCAAATTTTAGGATTATAAATCTAACTAGAGACTCAGTGATTTGTTATGGTCCTAGGAGCCATATTTCAGCTTATTAATATATTCTCAACAATCACCAAATTTTTGATTATGTGTCCTAACAGAGTAAGTTCAACCAGTTTTATTATCTAAAATGCTTGTAAGATACCCCCCAAAGTGATAATGGAATCAGAGTAATTTACTCTTTAAAAATGCCTGTAATTCCAAGCTTCTTTGACCAGCCTCTAAGGTTCATAACTACTTTCAGAGTATCTAGACAAGTCACGGAAAGAACTCATCTTTTAGAGTGCATGTAACAAGTGGCTACAGAATGCCTGATACTCAGAAATCACGTGAATGTGTCTGGATGGGGTACCGGCGATCCCAGCAGAGGCTGAGGGGCTGGACCGGCTCAAGGCCCTTTTCAGTGTTACTACTGCAGATGTATGCCTCGGTCAGACACATGGGCCTTCACCCCAAACACTCAAGGCACCTGAAAAATTAATCTCCCACGATTTAAAATGAAACAGTAATTACCAGGTTTTAGACAGTTCTTATTTGAATGTGATCTCTGTTAAAAATAATTTACACTGGGATATTCTCAGACATGACTTTTTCCTTTATATTCCTGAAAACAACACCTCAAATTTGCACAATTGCAAGAGCTGGCTTCTTCCTGAGGAAGTGAAGAAACAAACTTTTGTATCAGAATGAGTTGCTGCGTGTAACAGCTGTGACCCAGGACACGCCAACAACTGTGCTGTATGGCTACACTCCAAAGATTTACCTTGATAAATGCTTGGTATTTGTGCAGCTCAAAGTGCTTTTTTTTTAGAGTTTTGGTTAATTTGGTTTTAATCAACAAATGATTATCCAGCACTTGGACTGCTCTAGGCACTGTAGGGTACAAAATTAGTTGTATTCATCCTCTCAAGCCAGCAGTGAGGTAGGTTTGCTAAGCTGTAGTATCATCCCTAAGCATTTTCTATACTGTTCCTAAGAACAGGTAACATGACCAGATCCCAGAAACAGACATTTCTAAACACTTGTAGGAAAAAATAAAGTTGGATTTAAATTTTTAGCATCTTTGCCCTTTTGTTAAACATAAGTTTTACAAGATAATACATTTTTACAGTTACCTGATGTCGATACAATTTTGAATGTTGGCAAAAAGCAAATCTTAACTTGCATTACAATTAATTTTGCTGGGTTAGATTGCATCTCAGATTCTGTTTTGGCAAGTGCAACAGGTTAAGGGTTCTACTTAGTGTCCATTCTGATGAATATGATGGTCTTGAACCCATTATTCCTCCTCCGATGGCACCAGCATAACCTCCTCTGGGAAAGAAGCCTGTCAGCATCCAGAACTCCCGGGGGCCGTCCCCCAGGATGGGATTAAGCATGATAACAAAAGCATTTTCCCAACATTTATTAAAACAAGAGTGAGAGAGTTCTCTCATTTTACTGATGGGACTATACAGGAACACATTTAAATTTAATTACAATAACATTTTCAGTACGAAATATAGAATCTTATAAGAACATAATCTGTAAATTATAACCAGTTTTAAATAGCAAATTTGGACAATAAAGCTACTTAAGTGCTTGAATCAAAAATAAACAGGAAAACGGCTTCAAGAGAAATTAATAGTATAACTGATATCTGTTTATATTTTATTGTCAGTATTAACCAAAGGTGGAATTTAGCCAAGACTGCACTTTTTAAAAGTAATGTGTATTTTTATTTACTTTACAAAAGAAAAAAAACATACTCCCTCCATAAAATTCCAGATCTTACTGTGTAAAACAGCCATGCACTAGTTCATATTAGAGTCACACAATTTGAGACTGTTTGCAGGAGATAAGTGTCATAAAGGAGGAAGAGATATGGCTTCTGCAGCTTCAGTGAGGTGTAAGGCTAAGCTATACTGCCCGTGGTTTTCTGGTAAAAGCTCAATGACTTTATTTATTAGTTTAGCTGTTGTTGCAATGGGCACTTCCGTGTTTTGAAGATCCTGGGGGTTCTGCAAATGGAACACAAAAATAACCCATCAGTTACATACAACTAAGTAACTGCTACTTAAGAGTTGCAGGAGAGTAATTTCCCAATAAAAATGCTTTTGTTCAGAATTAAGAAAACTCAATTTTTCTCCACTATTAAAAAATGCACGTGAGAAAACGTCCAGTGGCCGTCTGCCTTCCCTCACGCCCGGCACTCACCATGGCCTTCAACCAGGTGCAGAGCGTTGGGGGCAGCCTGGCGAGCAGCTCCAGCCCCTCCCTCGTCTGCGTGCAGAGCACGGCGTGCGCCAGCCGCTGCCCGATCAACACCAGCAGCTGCGAGGCCAGGACTTCTTTGTCCTGAACCTGGAGGATGGCCTGCAGGGGGGGCGTGGACAAACGTCCTGACTCCATGTCACTTCGACCTCTGGCAAGGTTCCCAGTTTTCTGAGTGGCTGGCTGCTTCCTGTCCTTGGGGCTCAGCTCACCCCTGATCACCCTATTCTACTTCTGCTTATTTACAGGATCTTAGTGATTTTCTTCACAGCATTTACAACTCAATTCAGAATTGAGCATGCTTCTCAGCTCCCACAAGTAGACTGGATTTGGAGGAAGGCACCCTGTCTGTCTACTGCTCTGTCCCTCTGCATAAAACAGGTCTGGCACACTGCATGAGTTATACTACACACTGGCCAGAAACAGGAATTTGATTAGTTTTTATTAAAAAAAATTTTCTTTGGCCAAGCTCTGCAGCATCCAGGATCTTAGTTCCCTGACCAAGGATCAAACCCAGGCCCTCAGCAATCAAAGCACAGAGTCCTAACCACACTGGACCACCAGGGAATTCCCTAGTTACTTATTTTAATCCTGTTCTACTATTGTGCCTAGGAGTTCTAACAAAAGAAGGAAAAACAAGCTTTACCAGCAACTTTACTGATTTTTTACCCCAACTATCAGTTTTACAACTTGAGCCCGGACGACCGACACTCATAGGCTGTTACCTCCTCTCCTAAGTGGTCAGCTCCATAGTTGTAGAGTTCCCCCACGTAATGCCTCCTAACAACATCTTCATTGACTTGAAGGTGATGGGCCAAGGCCACGGCCAGCACTGGCCAGTCCTGGTCTTGACCAAAAGGGGCGGTTGCTGCCTCTTCCGTAGAGTCTCTGTCTTTTGCGACTGTGTGTCGGGCCTGGACAGCTGCACTGACAACTTTCAGTAAGAACTTGAAGGAGGAGAAACAGATACAGCAACGTCTTGTTAGTATTTTCATTAAAAAAATATGTAATTCCAAGTAACTTGGCTTTTCTGTCACTTAGAGTAGTTTTTCCATTGTAACTAGTTATCAAAAAATGACACATACTTTAAAGAGAAACTAGTTCTCAAAAATACCTTAGAGCTGGTCATCCCAATAGCTGTAATTTACCTGTTGTCGTACAGAAATAAAATTTGGATCCATTTCCCCACTAGGTAATAACTGAATTGAAGTTAAGTCCTTGAAAAATGCATTTTTCCCCTAAAGAAAAAGAAGAGACCAAGAACACTGATGAGTATGGACTGTTACTGGAGGGTGGGGGAGGGGGGTGGTGGTGGTGGTAGATTTTAAAATGAAGTCATTTAATAAAGAATAACTCATATACCCATGACCAATTCAGGTTGATGTATAGCAAAAACCATCACAATAGAGTAATTATCCTCCAATTAAAAAAATTAACACTTCAGAATTCTGTTCTTTTGATTTTCACAAGCTTATAGTGAAAGCAGCCTTAAGGGTGAAGCCCGGGGTGCCCTCCTGGTACCCATTCCCTGTGTAATTCCACTCCCCTGAGTTGGGGCTGGTGAGCAGGCTTAGGCAGAGAGGACAGCCTGACACTTTCAAGATTAGGTGACACAGGGCTGTGGCTTCTGCCCTAGAAGCTGCCCTGTGCAGTCACCCGTGAGAGGAGAACTGAGTCCTGCCAATCCTCATGTAAGCCTGTGAGTGGATTTCGATCCCCACCCTGGTGGAGTCCTGGCCAACACACCAACTGCAGACACCCGAGAGACCGTGAGCCAAAGCCGCCTACACTAGGGGAAACAGATCGGGACTCAGGAAAATGACACAGTATTTGCTGTTTTCAGCCACTGAGTTTGGGGATCATTTGTATGTAATGGGGCTTCCCTGTTGACTCAGATGGTAAAGAATCTGCCTGTTATCTAATAATCAGTAACTAATACATAGGTACTTTGAATCCTCTTAAAAACACTTGCTGAACTGTTTAAAAGCACCTGTTTAAGAGAATAGAGCCAAAAAGGAATATCAGAAAATATGGTTTCAGAAGTTCTCAGGAAGGAAATGCAATACAGAGCAAAGAGCACCAGCCTTTGAGTTGCAAGATCAGGGCTCCAAGCCCACTCCTTCCACCCAGGTCATCTTGAACAAAGGATCTCACCATCCTAGGCTGCTGTTTCTTCAGGTCATGCCAGATATCGTCTAAGGTACTTTCTAGATCTAACCTGTGATTACAGATCATCTGGAGGGACTGCTGAGTAGAGTGAAGCCATTCATCCTTTGGTGATGGAACATGCAAGATTTCTGACAGCAACCTGCTGCATCTGAACATCACCTTTTGAGTTTTCCCATGCACTCACTCACAGTCATTACTCTGTAGCTTCTACGTGGAGTTCTTGGGTATTGGGGTCTGCTCTACAGAAGGGCCTCCGGGATAGGGAGTATGTGTGCATTTATTGTCTACTATGTTCCAGACACTGCTGAGCACTTGGGTGTTGAGTATGTCATTTAACACTCAGGACAAGGAGTCATGACTCTCAGGCTAGGAGAACTGACTTTACCAATAAACGCAAACATGGGATTCTGTGTCACATGCCCCAGCACACACTGCTTCATTATTTGCATGTGAGTCACACAGCTGTCCCAGACCACTCAAGCATGATCTTGGCTGAGATAGCATGACCACTGTTCCTGTCCAATGCTGGATGTGGTCTCATTTTGAAAAGTCCCTTTTTGAGGGGAGTACTGATTTAAAAAAAAAAAAATCAAATTTTAAAGTATTTACTAGAAGTAAATACACTATTTCTACTTATATTTACTCTCAAACTCAACATGTCCAGAACTCTTCTAAAAGGGGCTTCCTTTAAATGCCATGTCCAGTCCCCCAAACTTGAAACTGGGTTGAATTTTCATCCCCTCTCCTTCACCCTTCACTACTCTGTCATGAGGTAGCTGATTTCTCAAAATTCCTCCATGACCTTTATTATTTCTCCCTAGGCCACATCACCACTAACTCCTGATTCCCACTGGCTTCTCCAAGAGGCTTGATTTCCTTGATTTCCACTGGCTTCTCTGCCCACCACTGCCCCGAGTCCCTTCTGCAGACCCCTGCCATATAACTTCTCTTTATCATCTCCTTAATTATGAATGTACCAAACATTTACCGGGTTCCTATCATGTATCTGGCATGGCACACAGACAAGGGGACATGTAGACAAAGACTTTGAAGGGGAAGTGACACTTAAGTGGTAAGTGAGTAACAAACAGGAACTGACCATGTGGAAGAAATGGCTGTGAAAACTGAACAATAAGACAAGAGGTGAGAAAAATGCCTGCCTTCTCCCAGGGTGGAGGTGGTGAGCAGTGGCTATAGCATGGGGTGTGAGGAATGGACAAGGGGGAGGAGAGGCAAGTCAAGGGGCGGGGAACGCCTCTGCGGCTCCACGTTTCCATGTGGCAGGAAATAGTAACAACATGGTTAGTGATAGTAGTTGTAACAGTATAGCACTCACTGCTCCCCACACTGGCAGTGCCTTTGGGAGGAGGACCTGAGCTCTGGGCAGCGCCCTGCTTTCCCCCTTCTTCCAGGGCTGTCCTCCTGCAGGGGCTCCCGTCCTCTGCTCCCAGCCCCAGGAGCCCGAGGGGTCTCCAGCGGTGGTCTGGCTGCACAGAGAGACCACCACTCTGGACACAAGCCCGGGTGGAGAAGCCAGTCAAGGCTGTGTCTTATGTCCCGGCATGAACCTAACACGACTGAATCTGAGTTTGGGAAGGAAGGTCTGGCAGCAGGGACTGCATGGAGGGAAGCTGGAGGCTGCTGGACCAGCCCAGGGGAGACGATGAGGCCTGAGCCTGGGCCACAGTGATGGAGAAGGATGGACAAGAGGGGATGTAAGGAAGAACTGACGGACGAGCTCACAGTGGCTCTGTGACCTGAGGAAGGGGACTGAGCTAGATGTTTCCCAGGCTACTAGTTTCTGCCGTATCACAGATGGTGACCTCACTCACCAACTGACCAAGCCAGTGAACTTGGGGGAACAGCAAGTGTGGATGGGGTCAAGGATGGGGAGGGGCGGGATACAGAGGATGGGGAGGGGCGGGATAGAGAGAGATTTCAGGAAGGAGGTATGTGTAGCCCACCGCACAGGCCAGAGAGGCATTCAGGAGAAACACATGACCCAAACCCTGGGGACAGGTCAGGCCTGAAGACACACAAGAGGAAGAAAAGGAGCTTATTGAAGACAAATGATGGGGCAGATGGCTGAGAGGGCCGAACCCCGGGCCACTAGTATTTCAGGTAAATCAGAAGAACAGGGAGCCTGACAAGGAATACAGGACCAAGACCCCCAAGACAAATAATCCTATACAAGACACACAAGGCCCAGTGACTTCTCTCTGATAAGACAGTCCTGTTAGACCCTCAGCTCCGAGAGGATCCCAAGTGCTCTGAGAATTACCTTACTGTCAAAAAGAGAGAGCGGCTTCACGGTCTTGAGAGAGAACCTCATGACGGCGTAGAGGACGGCGCAGAGGACGGAATGGTGCTCCACCAGTGGGTAGTGGATGTGCTTCTGGTCCAGCGCCAGCTCCACGATGGAGACCGGGCCCTCCACAGTCAGCCAGGCATCCTCCGTGTCCAACACAGGCACCTGCATTTCATCCCGGCTGACGTCTGCCTGCGTGTTTTGAGAAGGGAGAGCTATCAGAATCGGAGAAATAACAGTTTGACAATATCTTTAATGAGCTTCTTACCAGTACCAAAGTAGAAACCTATATTTTTCCCCATCCCTCAAGTTATAATTAAAAAAAAAAAACCCCACTAATAATTAAGAAACGTTACTTTTTTTTAGGCTTAAGTCAAAACTTCGAAGAGAATAAATGAAAAACAAGCTCTTTTTATATAGTTCTTTCTGAAGTCCAACGACTTTCAAAATATTCGATATCTTAGCGAAAGGTCAGCATGAAAACACCACCCTTCTACCTCCATTAGAGTCTGAAGAAGATCCCAGCAGCAGCCGAGGAAAGAAGTCAGTGCTGTGTCGCTCATCCCCACATCCTGTTTGTATGAAGGGACATCATTAGCTCCAGCAGGAAAGCTGGAAGGTTTTAATCAGAAAAACAAACAGAACATATGCATCTAGTCAACTGACTTTCCCCACTGAATTGACCAGTGAGAACTGAAAGTCAAGGTACTTGCACATTTTAATCTCTTTCTGTAGATTCAGCAGATTTTAAAATCGGGCTTTTAAAAACACGGTTCCCCTCAATTTTTAAAAACTGAGTATCTTTCTGTATTGGACAGAGGTGGTGTTGTCAGCCAGCCACAGACGGCTTGTGTCTGGCTTGCTTAGCCATCTGCTGGCCAAACAACCATGGTGTGTGTGCAGTAATAGTCACACAAGACAGGCCAACCTGGAAAGTTCCAAGACAATAGCCTGGTCTGGTTTCAGAGCATCTTTCAGGGACTGAACTGAACCCTCTGAACTAAAGTAAGATCCCCAAGCTGGTGAACTAAACACCAGAGTGATGCTGTGGGCAGGATCTTTTCTGAAGGGGCCTGTCCAAGGGGCCACTGTGCTCACATAAGGTCTTCTTAAAACCAACAGCCACAAATCCCTGACATCCCTAAGTAATTCATCCTTAAGAAACACAGCGTGTGTGCGTCTGTTTACACACATATTAACAGTAGTCACAGAGCCACACTCAAGAGCATACAGACAAATTCTTCAACAATGGAGATTTTTCAGGACTAAGGGCCTATAAAGGCTGAATTCCTGTGTCATAGTATTTCTTAAGATATTTGTAATAAAATTTCAAAGTTTTGAGCAACGCTAGCATTACTAATCACCGACCTCAAATATAAACCCCCGTATCCATGGATTGAAACATCATTTAAGACTGTTTGTACAATAGCTATTATATAAAGGTAGATTAAGTTCACTACTCATATGAATCCAATTCAATTAGAAATTTCTAATTTGAAAGGCAGCAAAAATATGCAATTTTTTTTTGTGGCCCTCCTGTCCAGAGTCCAAAGTTGAAGACATCTTGGAAAACTTAAACATACTATCTGATGATGTGGAAAGGTAAACTAAAATTGACCATAGGTTATAACCAGTTTCCTTATTAATACAGTGTTCTCTTTCCATTTTTCTTATCTCTCACTACATCATCAAAATGGTAAAAGGCAAAGTTCACTCCCACAGTTAATAAGGTACTATATAAAGTACAGAATTAACAACTATTCATCCAGTTAAGGGAGATACACTTACCCTTCGGCATAACCTATCCTTTGGTGCTTTTCCAACCTAAGACAAGAGGACACAAAATGCTGCATTTAATTAGTAATTTAAATCAAAATTTAAACTATGGTATAGAAAGTAAAAAGTAACCAAATTTTAAAAATACACATGCAGCTATAAATAAATACAGTACTAGTGTCATCAATTAAATGCTGGTTCTACTGATTTGTAGCATAAAACAATTAATTTTGTGGGGGAGCTTAAATATATATTATGAAAATACATTACACTGGGCTCACAAATCATCCTTTTAAAAAATACTATTTTTGAACTATTAAATAAGAAACCCCCAAAGATCAGGTTCCCGATTTCCATACTCAAACTGTGCTGCCTTAAAACCCATCTGGAGCCGAAGTGAAGGCCGTGAACAAGGAGCGGCTAAAAGGTCTGCCTGTTGGTAATGATTCACGGTACTCTTAAAGGTCAGAAAGAAGGGCAACCTTCTACAGCGGACAGAAGCTATATTCCTAACTCAGGAAAACCAGCTGATGTTCTTGTTCCGTAAGTAATTCCTAAGATCCTACTGTATACTTTATGTGGGGTAACAAGTGGAAGATAAAAGTTCTGCTCTTCAAGAATATTATGTGATAAGAAAATTCACAGGAAACAGTGAAAATGAAAGGACAAAGGCCTCTTCACCTCATTACCTCTCACTGTGATTACTTCAACGGCCTTTGAAACAACCACGTTTAGCCCACCCCAATTGCAACATACTTCACCCTGCTGCCAGAATCATCTTTTAAGATGTAAATCTGATCATATCATTCTTCTGCTTAAAACTGCCCCAAGTCTCCAAGATAAAAATAACAGCTACCGTTCACTGTGCCCTCACCAACTGTGCCAGGCCCTCTGCTAAACAGCTGACATACACTAGAAAACCCCAGATCACAGCCCAAGAGAAGGTTCTCCATCGGCCACTTCCTGCTCCTGTCTCTAGCTTGACCTTCAAACAATCAAAGCTACCTGCAGCTCTCTGAATCCGACACGCTGTCTGCCATCTCCAGGGCTTTTTGTGGAAACATTTTCTTCTCACTCTCTTTTTTACAGATTCATACAGTCATCCTCCAAAATCACCCCAGAAGCCTTCCCGTGTCACTTACATTCCTCTTCTGAGTTCTAAAAGCGCCCTATGGTCTGTTTACCATCTTTGCAATGGTGGGTTGAGGGTGGGGCTGTGACTTTATTCTCGGCAACCACAGAACCTGGCACTGAGCTTGGTACATAAGAGATACTCATAATAAAATCTATTGAATGAGTAATTCCAAACTCTCTGCTTCCTGGTTCAGGACTGCTAAACCCAACTCAAGCTGTGAGGGTCAGATGGACAGTGGGGGGTAGAATGCTGAGCATCTGTAGAGCGTAACACATGGAAAAGGTCTCTCAGGACGGTGGTCAGAGGTGGCCCAGAGCAACAGAACACAGGCCAAAGGGAGAGTTTCAAGAAATAAGCGGTAAGCGGGCAGGGAGGGTGAGCGCACAGGTAAGAAGAGTCAGATTTAACTAAAAAAAAGTCACCAGTTTTGTCAAAGCATTTTCTACCGGAGCCATGGCCTATAGGGGGTCTGAGCTGTAGCGCTCTTTATGGTTTAGGAGTGTCTGTCACTGTACGTTTAAAAGCACATGCTGTCGTTATCGTGGTAGCTCTCCCAACATCCACTTAGCGGCCGCCGGAGTAACCTGCGTTCTCCACTGGGCTGTGCAGATGCCGACTGGGCACCAGCCACTCAGCGCGAGGCCCAGAGGCTCCACTCTAGTACGCCAGCAGCTTTGCTCCCACTGGCCGAGTTACAAGCTTACCTCTTATCTCTGTTCCCAAATCTACCTGTGATGGTTGTACATATTGTAAGTCTGTAATTTAATTAAATAACTAATAACACAAATGAGGAAAACCAGGGAGTTCGTAAAGAACTATGTAGACTGCTTTAAAAAGATTTATGAAGGAGAGTAGCTCACTCCAAAGTCTAGTGGATTAGATACAGAGAAACAACTATAAAAACTAGGGGATAAATTATAAAAATTATAATATTACAAAAATATTACAAAATATTACAAAAATTATAAATTACAAAAATCTTAAGATTTTATACTCAGAGGGCATCACTGTTTTAAAGAGACAGGATCCAGAAATCACAGGCAATATACCATGGGTGAGGTTTATGTAGAAAAATCTCAGTAAAACTGTAATTGACCCTATTTAGAGAAAATATCTTGGCCCTACATCCCATGATCAATGAGAAATTGTGCATTTATATGTTTTAATTTAAAATAAAATGCAAATCCTTGCTTGAATCCACCACTGGTCCTAATCACCTGAGTTAAGAGGTTTTTATAGGATATTACTCTCTTTCAAGGATTTGGGCTCTTCAAGTCACCTAAATGCCAGGACAACTGAGCATAAATAAAATGTAATTATCAAATAAAAAAAATAGTCTAACAAGGCCCAATGCAAATGTTTCTTATATCAATCAATTATTAATGGAGCCAAATAAACAAGAAGTCAATATAGGAAATTTCAAATTTAAATGACCTTACCTTATCCATCAAGTATGTAGTGGCAGAAAATCTTTTGACTAAGAATGTATTCCACATCATCAGCGCAATGCCTGGATAGCAAGTGAAGTAAAGCAGTAAGCAGAATGCTTATATATCTTCTCTTTCAACATATATAGCAAACTGTTTTCTTCATTAAGTTTATAAAACTACCTGTGTTATTTAGATATTACTTCTTATATCTTATGTAATATTTATAAAATTAATAAAAACCTTTATCATCTATAAAAATCAGAACTGGGATGTGTGAGAGGATATCCAAATGGCCAATAAGCATAAGAAAAGACAGCATCACTAGTTATGAGAGAAACAGAGATTAGAACTACACAGAAATATCATTACATGATCAATAGAAAGGCTAAAATTTTTTAATATGACAACACCAAGTGTGGGTGAGGATGTGGAAACAATGGGGATGCTCACACACTGCCGGTGGGATAATCACCTGGGAAAACCCCTTGGAAAACTGCTTGGCCTGTATCTCCCCCTAAGCTACGTATGCCTACCGTGTGACCCAGCAAGTCCTCTGCAGAAACAATCACAAAAATATGTACAAGAGAATTGACAGCAAAACACTGGAAACAACCCTAAAGGATTTTCTTTATATGTGACCACTAAATAAAGCAATATACAAAAAAGTACTAAAAAAGCAAAACAAAATACAAAAAAATATTTAAAAAGAACTTGACCAAACAAAAAATCCGGGCTTTACATGTCCATAAGCAATAAACTGTGGCACTGATACTAGAATTTCTGCAATAGCTGTCAGTTAGGCAACATAAACATGACATTTCACATATTGTCTTATCACCCACAAAGCTGCTTCTGTAACTAGGAGTGAGGTTATGCAGAAGCCAGGAAACTTACTCAATGTACAAATTAGGTAAAGAGTTTTTTTTTTATTTGAAGTAAAGTTAATTAAAATGCTGTGTTAGTTTCAAGTGTACAACAGTGATTCAGATACACACACACAGACACACATCTATGTGTATACATACAAACACACACCCCACTCATATTTACATACATATATTCTTTTCCAGATTCTTTTCCCTTATAGGATGTTACAAAATATTGAGTATAGTTCCTTGTGCTATACAATAGGTCCTTGTTGGTTATCTATTTTACATGTGGTAGTGTGTTAATCCCAAACTCCTAATTTATTACTCCTATGACAAACTGGGTAAAATTCTAACTTGAATACTAGCCTCTGATCAATCGGTAACTTTATTTTATCAGTAAGGATAAATCCTTTAGAGACTGTATTTTCCAAATGAGCCACTTTTAAATCTTTTCTCCCCTCTTGGAAGAAAGTTAAGAGTAAAGAGATGAATATATAAAATAAATTATAAGTTCTTGTCAGGTAAAACAAGAATTTTAGAATTTCTGCAATTTGACCCATATCACCTGCAAGAAGGTGTTACAGAAGAAGAAATAAGCAGCTTCTCTACAATGTATCACAAAGACAAAAAGGTGATTATCTCCCCTTGTCTGGACCCAAACCCAGTCTCACCACTTAGTATCTTACTAACTTCCTATCTTAGTATCTCACTAGTCCATTACTGAGCTCCTTGATTAATTCTTACAGGGAATCTCTTCTATTAAACGAGCCAGCAATCCGGTGACCATTTTTCTACAATAATTTGTAACATTTTTTTCAAGAAAACAACAGCAATCCCCGTGGTAAAGAAACCAATGGAGAATACTCATGTTCATTAAAGCAGCACAAGATGGGAGGGATAAATTTGGAGTCTGGGATTTGGCAGACACAAACTACTACACAAAATAGGTGAACAACAAGGTCCCATTGCATAGCAGAGGGAACTATATTTAATATCCTATAACAAACCATAACGGAAAAGAATATGAAAAAGAGCATATATACACATGTGTATGTGTGTGCATAACTGAATCACTTTGCTGCAGACCAGAAACTAACAGTATGGTAAATCAACTCTACTTCAATAAAACATTTTTTAAAAAGACAATATTGATGCATTTATTTTGTAAACAAATGAAATAAACTTAGATTATCAGTAAATTAAAAAAAAAAAAGAAGCAGCACAAAGTAATTTCTAGCATGTGGTATTATTAGGCTTTGGCTACCCTAACTTTTTCATCAGGACTTATAGTTCTGAACAGCCCATTCCTCTTTCCTTATCTACCTGTGAAATAGAGGGGGAATTATTAATTCATGCATAATATTCTCACTACACCTAAGAACAGTCATTAGCATGGGAAACTGATGGGTGGGAAAAGACGGTGATAATTACCGCCAGCCCCCATCTCCTTTCTGGACAGCATTTTTCAAGCAATTAAAACAGCTGGTACTGCGTATGTAGCAACACACAGTAATGTGTTAGGTGGCAGGACCTATTTTATTTTTATCAACTAAAAATTTACTAGGTTGTGAATTTACAGAGACTTGGCTCTGTGGGGAAGGGGACGGGATAGTTAGGAAGCTTGGGATGGACACGTACACACTGCTATATTTAAAATGGATAACCAACAAGGACCTACTGTATAGCACAGGGAATTCTGCTCAACGTTATGTGGCAGTCTGGATGGGAGGGGGATTTGGATACATGTATACGTATGGCTGAGTCCCTTCCTGGTTCACCTAAAACTATCCCGACGCTGTTAACTGGCTATACCCCAATACAAAATAAAAAATATTATTAAAAAAAAAAGAGATTTGGCTCTTTTGAAAGAAACAGTTACATTTTTAACACCTGTTTACTTACCATTCTGAACATGGGCATTAAGAATGTGCTTCAAGTGTTCTATTGACCTAACAAAAAAACGTGCTTCCTTGCATAGAGGAAGCAAGAAGAGAGAAAGAAGAGGTATTATTCAATAGGTATTTCAAATATAAATGGAGACTTCTGACATACATTTCTACATGAAGTAACCCAAGAATGTTACAAGAACATGGAATTATTACATAAGAAGAAACTCTGCATAAGGTAATGTTAATGGTCTCTCTTAAATTTAAAGTATCTATATAATGACTGATTCCTGGACATCTGGATTCAAAATTTACTGTGGTTTGTACATCACAGCAATGCTCTCTCCAATAAATAGTTGAATTTCACACAAATGTAAAAATAGGTTTATTTTCTTTGTAAATATCATTAATTAATTCTTCAACAACTATTTATTGAGCAACTACTATGCACCAGACTGCTAAAGGCATCAGACATACTGTAATGAACAAAACATACCCAAATCCTTGCCCTCACTAAGGTTATGTTCTAGTGACAGAACCAAATGATAAATACAGTAAGTAAATTATAGAGGATGTTTATAAAGAATGTTAGTGGTAAGTGCCAAGGAGAAAACATTAAAGCAGTGAAGGGAAATAGGAAATAAATTCAACTCTTTTTAATCAAGGCAGTTTAAAATTGTGGCCTATACATTATTAAACATAACACCTTTGCTAATGCATGTCAAAAGTTCCCCAAAGGCAATTTCAATTGTTTTGAGCCTAGTAAAGCTGTGTGTGTAAAGTGATTGAACTGGGATAGGGGTTGTTGGATGGGGCAAGGAGATAAATATTTAACAGTAAAGAAACAAACAAGAAAAATGCTGATTTTAAATGTAAGTAATTATAATAAATTACAACGGCAACACAAATCAAAATGTTAGGCACCGTGTGTGTATTTTCTTTGTAAGTTGCTACAACTCTTAGACAGATTACTGTTATGGTCCTCATCTACTTAAGGAGAAAATTGAGAACAAAAGGCTCAGAAACATTCCCGAAGGTCACAGAGCCAGGAGCCACGCGGCTGAACAGACTCTGTTACGCAAACTGCCTTTGGTTTAGAAATGACTGCTGTAGGACAAAGCTTTTTAACTTAAATACCACTTTCTTAAACCTGAATCTGGAACTAATTCACTCAGATTTTAGAAATTATCGTGCCTTTGTTCTAGTCCTAAGGTTCTTATGTGACAAAAGTGTCCCATTTAAGGAGGAGACTAAACTTGTTCCCCTTTAGGCTGTGGGGAGGTCAACTGAAGAGTGATGGGAGGGGCATTTTTGGTCGAAGTTTAAATGATCAAAGAACGTTACTTTGTTTAAAGCACTTATTTTTAAAATGTCTTCCTTTAACATGAAAGTGATTACATGTTCAAGACAATATTGCTTTATCCAGAGCAAGGAAAAATATCATTATCATTAGTATGCATGCTTATGTGTTGAGCTGCTTCAGTCATGTCTCTGTGACCTCACGGACTGTAGCCCGCCAGGTTCCTCTGCCCATGGGATTATCCAGGCAAGAATACTAGAGTAGGTTGCCATGATCACCTCCAGGGGATCTTCCCCACCAAGAGGTCAAACTTGCGTCTCTTATGTCTCCTGCCTTGGCAGGCGCGTTCTTTACCACTAGTACCACCTGGGAAGCTATCATTAGTACTTTAGTGTGAATAGTCATCAGTGAGATTTTCCTTCAGTAGTGCAACCTGATACAAGGATGATAAAGGAGAGAATTTTGATTGAGGTTAATTTACCAAATAACTAAGAAGGCCTATGCTCTGAGAACTGTACAGGCAAGAGAAATATACAGCAGGCATTTTCACATCTTATTTTATCCAGGTGTCAATCCTGAAGATTGGTACCATCACTAAAAAGGGGTGGGAGGAGAAAAACCAGATTCAAGAGATTGTGACTGGCCCAAACCCAGACACCTGTGCAGAGCCCTCAAGTCCAGGCCTGTCTCCAGGCCTGGGGGGCCTCTCCTCATGCTGCTTCCAGATTGAGAATGTCTGGGAGGGAAGAAGGCTGCTAGAAGGGGCAGAAAGTGATGCCCAAGGAGACAGTCAGACTGGCATCAGGATCTTTACTCTGGATTTGATCATGATGACTACAGTTTGAAGAACTGTGTATAGGTTGATGCCATCTCACATAGAAATTCGAAAGGAAATAAAAGATACGCTCATTGCAACTTATTAAGAATAGGACAGAACAGACTGGCGTTGGACACAGAGACATCTACTAGGCTTGAATCCTGGTCTGACCACTGATTAGCAGAGTACTTACAACCTGGGCAGGGAATCTGACTTCCCTGAGCCCATTTTCTCTTCTCTAGAGTGGGAATAATGATGACCCACACTTCATAGGTTTACCGTGAGGATTATGTATGAAAAAGGTCTTGTATAGCTCCCAGCGTGGAGACACTCCAAAGGGGAAAAACTCAGTGTCTGTAAGTGAAGGGAACAGTCCCATAGAAGAAGTGAAGAGAGTTGTACCTCCGGGTCTTTATTCCACTGCACAACATACTCCCAGCAGCAGTGTGCGTGCAGCACGTCCAGCTCGAGGCTACAAGGGAACTGCTTGTAGGCCAAGTGCAGCAGGTCTGAAAGTTAGGAGACAACGATGTATTACTCCTGCCTGAGGGAGAGTTCCAGCCACGTTCTTCATGCTGGATTTCCTGTTTACCTGTGTTTTTGTCTTACCTGGAATGGCTCCCAAGTCCATCTCCACCTCTGACACCTCAAATAAACCTTGGTTAATACCTTCTCTGGGTTCATCTGGGTTTTCTGCATCTCTTCCTTTATTAGCCAATTTTAACACTTCGGGGCTGAAGTCCTGTTTAAATATCCACTTGGCTACACTGTCTGCAATGCCACCTACAGTTTGGAGACAGGAAAGAAAGTGAACATTGGCAGCATTTGCCAAAAGGAGCCCACAGAGTCAGGATCTCAAGGTCCCCACGAAGACCCAAGTGCCACATTGCGTTAAGCCTGAAAGTGACCCCAAAGCCATGAGATTTACAGCAGTGTCGCCATGTACCACTCACCACGCAAGGGCAAGTGGGATACTGGACCTCTAAGGGTGACTTTACACTCTTGTAAAATATTAGCTAAATATTACTGTCTATACACACATATCTTCAATGTCCACAAATTCAAACTGCATTTTACCAGGCACAGATGAAGGCATGAATACATCTTTAAAATGCTTTCATTTAAATACAAGTGAAAACAGACTCATTAGCATGATACTTGTGTCAAGGCTTCTTAGGGCAAAATACTGTTTTTAATAGTCAAGAACTTGCCTCTATGGAGTATCTGGGGTAACAGTTTAGCCACAGTTAATTAATGGCATGATGCCATACCATATTTCAGCCACCAACATAGTCCAGAAAGTCATAAATCATAAAAGCATTCAAGATGAAGAGTCCTGCCTACTACCGAAAACAAATACAAGCTTCTCTAATGTATTAAAACTTTTCCTCTCAGTCTTTCTTCCTATTTTGCGTCAAATGAAAACCTTTTTGACAACAAGAATACAAAATCATGATTATCAGTGGAAATAAATGAGAGCAGTGTGCCAGGTGATCTAATTTCTTAAGCTTGGCTTCTAAATCATTTGATAATTCCCATTCCAGGATCAAGTCCTCATCCTATCGCTCAAGTTAATATTAAAATGGTGTTCCTACATTTTCACCAGGTGGCAGAACAGAGGACAGTAAGTTTACAATTTGAAAATGTTCACAAATCTTATACAGAATGAGAAGATGAGTTAACTAAATTAAAACCATAAATGCCAGTATTTAATCCCAGAAATAGTCATTCCAGCATCAAATGTCTGACAGAGATGCTGGTAATAAGGAGAGGAAGTATGTCATTACAAATCCAATATTTTAAGATACTTGTGGTCCTACAAAATGTTTAAGCACAGGAATCCAATGACTCTGGAATAGTAGAAAGTGATGCACTGAAAATGAGGTATAAAGTTCCATGGATATTAGGAGGAAGAAGAGAAAATTCACAGTTAGTGGGTCATGAGAGGCTTCCTGGAGGAGGCAGCATTTGAGATGGGCCTTGGAAGTTGAGAAGAGGTAGGTGTTGAGAAGAGGTAGGTGGTGAGTTACTTATTTACTTTTAAAATCTGAGTGTATTTTTCTTTCCTTATTCTTTCAGTCATTTCTATTAAAAAAAAAAAAAAGCAAAGCCCCAGAAAGCTCATACCATAAAAATATAGATCTATGGCTACAAATGCTCAAATAACTTCAGGTTACCTTTTCCTCCTTCTAATAGCTTTTTCACAGAAAGCTTCGGGAGTGGCTCAGCCTGCAGCAAAGACACTTTGGAGGTCCGGGTGTTCGTTTTGCTGTGAAGCAGAGTCTGAAGCAGGAGACAGTCCTCCAGTTGTTTCAGGAGGAGTTTCCAGTATTCCGTGTCAAGAGAAAGGGCCTCCCAGGAATCAGTGAGGGCTTCCGAGTCAGTTCCTGAAACTGTTTGGGAAAACTAACAGAAAATGCCCAGTTGATACTTTGGCTAAGAGCCTGGATCAACATTAACTTGAATGAGCTGTTAACATGAAAGCCGATGGATCATCAGGATACATCACAAAGCAATATACAGATGCTGGTGCACAAACATTACTACTTGGCTGGATGGAACATGAGGGTCAGGGGTAGACTGGAGACTTAGGTGCAGTGCTGATGGAGTCCAGACATTTATGAAGAGACCTGTAGTGAGGCCCATGATTCAACAGACATGCACTGCAAAGGTTTCAGGCCCATCCCCGCAAGAGTTCCTGGATACTGACAGTTCTTCAGAATGTACTAGCCAACATAAAAAGTGTATCTTAAATTTCTCTCTCCATTATTAGAAATATCATAAATCAGTCATAATGAATTTAGCCCCAAACTACTGAGACTGACAATGTTGAGTGAATCTCTACAGACCTATTTAAGTGTCCTATCCAATTTAATGCAACATCCCCCTAGAAAAAATTATTTGATTTACCATGAGATACAAGGGGCGTTAGTCTTGCCTTAAATAAATTTTAGTCTTCAAAAGATGGGGAAAAGCCACAAAGTAAAAGGTCAACTGGAAGCTTTCATCTGAGTCATTTAACACTATGTGCCAAAACCACCCTTATTTCTAAAAGAGGGATATAAACACAATTGTAGAAATTAAGAGCTGAAAGAAATCTGAGCAATAACGCTGTCTAACCCTGAGCCTTCTGAATGAAGACCTGCCTTCTAAAGGCACTCACCAGAGACCACCAGCTGTGAACACTAGGTCTCTGCCCTGAATTCAATGCTGCTTCCCTTGTGCTGTGTGGAGACTAAGCTCAAGGACGCGTCATCTGAATAAACAACTAAAGAAGAACCCCTTATCTCCAAGAGACAGACAAGATCCTGCTGGACACATATCTCAAATTTTGGATGTTCCACACACTGAAGACAATGCAGGCAGAAGGGGAAAGCGGTTGGGGAGCCCGCTGGAGGGGAGTCCCCCCAGAGCTGACCCCCTGCCCACTCACTTTCTTCTCGGTCAAGCTGTTGGATATCTGGGCAGCGACAGCATGCCCCACGTGCGCAGACAACAGTGCAGCCCCGTTGTTCTCGGACTGAATACAGACCGTGCGCATCTGCTGCCACCAGGGGGACACTGACTGAGAATCCCAGGTCTCTTCAATGGCCACTACAGGCAAATGGGAAAAAAAGAAACTCTTAGCTTAGCAAATTTTTTTTTTAACCTTTGATGTTAAAATAATGTTAAAACCAAGTTTCCTATTGATGCATGTGTGCATTTTTGAATGAACTGGAAAAATAAATCTTTATTTTATTCAGAACACTTAACATTCCATTTATTTATGCTCTTAGGCATCTTGCTCTGAATCAATTGTGAATCTCTGTTTGGAATATTTTCATCATTGCTGAAAACTACTACTGAATGTTTTAATATAACAGATTATTGTTCTCATCATGCCAAAAAGAGTAAGAAAAATATTACCTCCACCATAGACCATTCAATTTACCTCACTGAACTCAGAAAACACAGTCTGTATCATTTTTTATGTTGATGCAAAATGTAAATTTAATTTTCATAAAGCACACTCTGAATGTATTAAGAGTTTTCTATGACTACATAAAGGATTATCTCTAGTGAAACATTTTGTACCTTCTAGTCTCCTTTTGTTAAGAGGAAGTATTCTCCCTCCCCGTTTTTGTGGAATTTCAACACTAAACGTTGTTTCTGGGAGTGGAGACCAAATTCCCGAGGAGCCAAACCTCAGTGTCCACGGTGCTTACCTTTCATCTTGCTCAGGAGATACAGCATTGTATGGAGACAGCAGACAGACTGAGGTTTGTCCAAAATATCTTTTTCCTTAGAAAGCCAAACACTCAGGAGCAGAGACTGAAATCAGATTTAAATCTTACTGTAAAAAAAATATTTACCATAAACAAAATCTTGTACATTTCTAGACCATATGTGTATTCATGAGTGGTTCAGTCTTTCTGGTTGGGAGGTAAGTGCTTGCTTGTTACGTGACAGCGTGAGGGGTGGAACAAGCTAGCTTGTCTACTTTAAAGAGATTCCTTATCTGTTGGGGATCAAAATCTCCCCATTTCCACTACTTCTTTAGTTTCAGTACTACCCTTCAGTGCAAGCTTCTATTAAAGAGCAAATCGGCAGAGAGGGTACTGCCAGTGAGCATGGATCACAGCTGGCCGCAGGTTATGACTAGAGGGCCTAGAGCTGTGGCTCCAGCCCTGGTCTTGGCCATGCAAAGAAAACCGGGGACTTGGAAGTGGCTGGTGAGTACATAATACTATCAAACTCCAATCTTCAAGTCACTGAGTCAAGAGAAACAGATTTTAAAAGCACTTAAATCAACAGAGTGATTTTTAAGAATGAGCCTATCTACTTAAAATTTTTTAAACTGGGGTTCATAAAATTTGTACACAGATAATTCTGTGCTAAGGAAAACTTGAAAGGCATCGTGTCACATCTGTTAACTACTGGTGTGTGTGAAAGGTTCTGATTGCCTGTAATTCTGCAATGTCTTTATATATATAAAGAAAAATTCTAATAAAACAAAAGGTTGACTATCAGTTTAAAAGCATTCAGTTCAGTTCAGTCGCTCACTCGTGTTTGACTCTTTGCGACCCCATGAATTGCAGCACGCCAGGCCTCCCTGTCCATCACAAACTCCCGGAGTTTACTCAAACTCATGTCCATCGAGTCGGTGATGCCATCCAGCCATCTCATCCTCTGTCGTCCCCTTCTCCTCCTGCCCCCAATCCCTCCCAGCATTAGGGTCTTTTCCAATGAGTCAAGTCCCCACATGAGGTGGCCAAAGTATTGGAGGTTCAGCTTCAGCATCAGTCCTTACAATGAACACCCAGGACTGATCTCCCCTAGGATGGACTGGTTGGATCTCCTTGCAGTCCAAGGGACTCTCAAGAGTCTTCTCCAACACCACAGTTCAAAAGCATCAATTTTTTGGCGCTTAGCTTTCTTCACAGTCCAACTCTCACATCCATACATGACCACTGGAAAAACCATAGCCTTGACCAGACGGACCTTTGTTGGCAAAGTAATATCTCTGCTTTTTAATATGCTATCCAGGTTGGTCATAACTTTCCTTCCAAGGAGTAAGCGTCTTTTAATTTCATGGCTGCACTCACCATCTGCAGTGATTTTGGAGCCCCAAAAAATGAAGTCTGACACTGTTTCCCCATCTATTTGCCATGAAGTGATGGGACCAGATGCCATGATCTTCGTTTTCTGAATGTTGAGCTTTAAGCCAACTTTTTCACTCTCCTCTTTCACTTTCATCAAGAGGCTTTTTAGTTCCTCTTCACTTTCTGCCATAAGGGTGGTGTCATCTGCATGTCTGAAGTTATTGATATTTCTCCCAGCAGTCTTGATTCCAGCTTGTGCTTCCTCCAGCCCAGCATTTCTCATGATGTACTCTGCATATAAATTAAATAAGCAGGGTGACAATATACAGCCTTGATGTACTTCTTTACCTATTTGGATACCTATTTGGAACCAGTGTGTTGTTCCATGTCCAGTTCTAACTGTTGCTTCCTGACCTGCATACAGGTTTCTCAAGAGGCATGTCAAGTGGTCTGGTATTCCCATCTCTTTCAGAATTTTCCACAGTTTATTGTGATCCACACAATCAAAGGCTTTGGCATAGTCAATAAAGCAGAGGGAGATGTTTTTCTGGAACTCTCTTGCTTTCTTGATGATCCAACGGATGGTGGCAATTTATCTCTGGTTCCTCTGCCTTTTCTAAAACCAGCTTGAACACCTGGAAGTTTATGGTTCACGTATTGCTAAAGCCTGGCTTGGAGAATTTTGAGCATTACTTTACTAGTGTGTGAGATAAGTGCAATTGTGCGGTAGTTTGAGCATTCTTTGGGACTGGAATGAAAACTGACCTTTTCCAGTCCTGTGGCCCCTGTTGAGTTTTCCAAATTTGCTGGCATGTTGAGTGCAGCACCTTCACTGTATCATCTTTCAGGATTTGAAATAGCTCAACTGGAATTCCATCACCTCCACTAGCTTTGTTCGTAGTGATGCTTTCTAAGGCCCACTTGACTTCACACTCCAAGATGTCTGGCTCTAGGTGAGTGACAATACCATCGTGATTATCTGGGTCATGAAGATCTTTTTTCTACAGTTCTTCTGTGTATTCTTGCCACCGCTTCTTAATATCTTCTGCTTCTGTTAGGTCCCTACCATTTCTGTCCTTTATCGAGCCCATCTTTACATGGAATGTTCCCTTGGTATCTCTAATTTTCTTGAAGAGATCGCTAGCTTTCCCATTCTGTTTTCCTCTATTTCTTTGCACTGATCGCTGAGGAAGGCTATCTTATTTCTCCTTGCTATTCTTTGGAACTCTGCATTCAAATGAGAATATCTTTCCTCTTCTCCTTTGAGTTTTGCTTCTCTTCTTTTCATAGCTATTTGTAAGGCCTCCTCAGACAACCATTTTGCCTTTTTGCATTTCTTTTCCATGGGGATGGTCTTGATCCCTGTCTCCTGTACAAGGTCACGAACCTCTGTCCATAGTTTATCAGGTACTCCAACAATTCTAGTCCCTTAAATCTATTTCTCACTTCCACTGTATAGTCATAAGGGATTTGATTTAGGTCATACCTGAATGGTCCAGTGGTTTTCCCTACTTTCAATTTATGTCTGAATTTGGCAATAAGGAGTTCATGATCTGAGCCACAGTCAGCTCCCGGTCTTGTTTTTGCTCACTGTATAGAGCTTCTCCATTACTACATACAATTTTCAAAATTAAGAAGAGTAGGAAACTGAAGGAGAAGTGTGTGAAGGGAATTAACTCAGGAGAATGACCCAAGGCAGGTAAGTAAAAGTACCTGACAGGAGTATCTTCCCATTCGATAACAACAACCTCTTGGGACAGGGCTGGCTACTGGGGTTTTACAAATGATAAGAAGGAAAAACAACTTACTGATTTAGAACTAAAGTTTGAACCTAGATCTGCCTGGCTGTATAAATATAAAAATATACACACACACTTTCTCCTATTTCTCCCCTTTTTGGTTTAACTTGTCTCTTTCTTAACCCTTTCACATCTCACCCTTTATTAGCTTCCTTTATACCTCATCCTACCCATATACCTTGTCATTTTTAAAAAACTGGGTATGTCCTTTCATATTTGCCCTCATATTCAAAAGACTATGACAGGGTTAACAACAATGCTAATGGTTATTTAGAGCTTATTATGAACCAAGCCACTAACTGCCTTCATAAGTTAAGATATACAGAAAGTATTATGTAGGGAGGACAAGATGGGGGTTCACTTTCACAAAAATGGGGTTGTATTATACCATGTTCATTCCACTTGCTACATAATATCCTCCGTCATCCACAAAATTTTGACTGACATTAGTCATTTATCAACGTTATTCCCTCTGTTTTAAACTTCTTCTTAATCTCATATAGCACCGCTGTTTATAACCACAAGGCAGGCTAAAAAAAATGAATTGCCTACATGGACAACAAAGACATTCCAGAATCATGAAAATTACTTCGACTTGGTGTCTTGCGCACACAGGTTGTGAGGCAGATCAAAAGGAAATGAAGGGAGGTGGCAGAATTCACCTACTAGGTTCATGGCCAGGTTGCCATTTGGCTCACCCTGATTAGTTTTGGAGACACAATGTATGTCCAGGGGTTACGTTAAGTGCACACCAGGTTTCTAATACACTATGTTTCTCAAAGTTTGATTTCATGTCCCCAACAGTAAGGGTTTCAAAGTGCTCACAAAGATTTCCAATCCAAAGGGTTGTTTTAAACTGTACTACGTTTATACAAATTAAATGTCAAGCCTTTGTTCTCTCTTCCCACACACTCTTCTAATTTTTTCTTCAATTAACCGCTTCCTCATCCATCACTACATTTACCAAGTCCTGAAACAAACGCTCTTCTGCTTAACTCTTCTTTTCATGTCTCTCTGAGATCTGCTCTATCTCTTGACCAACTAGGTAATCTCTGCTTATAAGCTAAACAGTGTTCTTGTTTTTTTAAACTTAAAAAATTCCAAACCAGTCACACTTTTATTTATGTGCAGCAAGTCAGTGTAAACAGAGGATGCTGTGGGCGTCTTTAGAACAGGATGAGACAATTTTAGAATCACTTATGTGACAGAAAGACTTATTAAACTTCAGGAAAAATTAAGGGGAAAGGAGAAAAATAAGCAAAGTATAGAGAATAGAGAGAGGAACATAGATACCTCATAGAATACACACAGAGACATACACAACAGGAAAAGACTGTACCTGGAAGGTAACCATCTCCACATCTAGTGAATACAAAATAAGATATATTTTCAAAACACTGCAGCAAAGAATGTTAGATTATGTATTATTCATAATGTAAACATTTGTATTATAGATTTGCACACTCTAAGTGTGAATCATGTTGTTTCATAATTGTTAATTCACATATAAATGTCATCAACTGACATCTTACTAGATGATATTTGAACAAAAGACTTTGAATAATAGAATCCTTGAATAGAAATTTACTAAATTCCTCTAATCACAGAGTATCTAAGACTTGTTAGAACTTCCACCAAAGAAAAAAAGAGAAACATCCAGGCGTCTTTGATGGGTGCTTCTAAAGCCCAATGAGCTTTACCTTTTGCAAAATATCCTCCTATATAATCCACATCCTTAATGTTTTAGTTCTTCACTCAACGGAAATGCTGGCATACATAGTGCGAGGAAGCCATCTGTCAGCCTTGCCTGCCTGTACTTCAAAGAAATCTACCTTGTCAGTCTTTTGGATGAGCCTTATTTCCTAGTCTTTCCTGAAAACTAGGGTTTGTTTTAGGTTACAGAATCTGAAACTTGATACAATTCCATTGA